AGATAGAATCATAGAATAGTTAGGCTTGGAAAGGACCTTAAGATCATCCAGTTCCAACCCCCCTGCCATGGGCAGGGGCACCACACACTAAACGATATCACCCAAGGCCTCGTCCAACCTGGCCTTGAACACTGCCAGGGATGGAGCATTCACAACCTCCCTGGGCAACCCATTCCAGTGCCTCACCACCCTAACAGGAAAGAACTTCTTCCTTATATCCAATCTAAACTTTCCCCATTTAAGTTTTAACCCATTACCCCTTGTCCTGTCACTATAGTCCCTAATGAAGAGTCCCTCCCCAGCACCCCTATAGGCCCCCTTCAGATACTGGAAGCTGCTCTGAGGTCTCCACGCAGCTTTCTCTTCTCCAGGCTGAACAGCCCCAACTTTCTCAGCCTGTCTCCATACAGGAGGTGCTCCAGTCCCCTGATCATCCTTGTGGCCTCCTCTGGACTTGTTCCAACAGTTCCATGTCCTTTTTATGCTGAGGACACCAGAACTGCACACAATACTCCAGGTGAGGTCTCATAAGAGCAGAGTAGAGGGGCAGGATCACCTCCTTCAACCTCCTGGTCACGCTCCTTTTGATGTAGCTCAGGATACGGTTGGCTAACTGAAGACAGTGTGATGGAAACAGCTTGAATACAAAAGTCTGTGTCACAGTAAGGAACTTCTTCCTTATATCCAGTCTGAAATTCCCCTGTTTCAGGTTGAACCCATCACCCCTTGTCCTATCGCTACAGTCCCTGATGAAGAGTCGCTCTCCAGAAGCATCCTCCACTGATCCAGCCAGCACAGCCCACGGCTGTTCAGAGGGAGCACTGGCCCTCTTGGCTGTGTTTGGTACCAAGTCTTAAGAAAACCTCCAGCTGCCATAGTGGTATCAGCTGTAAACTAAGCCACAGGTTCCCCAGATGGTTTTGCTCTCTGGAAAACTGGCAGCCCTCCAGTTTTCATAGGCCTTGCTTCCATTTCCACCCCCTTGTCATCATAAATCTTAATTAAAATGGCTCTTCTGAGTGGCTTGGTAGTGGCACAATCGAAGTCTGGAGAAGAGAAGGCTCAGAGGGGACCTGAGCGCTGCCTACAACTGCCTGACAGGAGGATGGAGCCAGGAGGGGCTGGGCTCTGCTCCCAAGGAACAAGGGATGGGACAAGAGGAACCGGCCTCAAGCTGCACCAGGGCAGGTTTAGATGGAGCTGAGGAACAATTCCTGCCCCAGAGGGTGCTCAGGCATTGGAACAGGCTGCCCAGGGCAGGGCTGCAGGCACCGTCCCTGCAAGTGTTCACACCCCATGGAGACGAGGCCTCAGTGCCATGGGTTAGTGGTGGCCTTGGCAGGGCTGGGGTAAGGGTTGGACTTGGTGACTTTAAAGGTCTTTTCTAACCTACTCAATGCTACATTTCTATGATTCTGTGACTTTTTTAATGAGCTGCTCCTCATGTCTTTAGCTCACTTAGAACTTCAGATGGAAATGCTGCAGGAAAGGGAACCTTCATGGATAGCACGATGGCTTTCCAGTACTGACGTCAACAGGTTTCCAGTCATTTCTGTAAGTACTTTTACTGTACTGTATGATTAGAGCAACTGCAGTAAAAGAAATGCCATCCCTGTTTTATGCCACATCATGAGCTTCATTGAGAACCCAAATCAGAGCTCACAGTACCTGGCAGCACTGGCTGCCTGTTGCATAGGTTTACATTTATGTATGTTAATGCAGCCAGAATGGTTTTCTTGCCCTGGAATTTAATGCATTTTTGATTTGCTAATCTCTCTCAAAGCTATACATCACTTCAGCCAAGGGATTATGGCTTCTTTAGTAAATCAAAAATATACTGCTCAATTAAGTCAATCTTTCACATCAGCTTATAAGTCTTTGGAGATTTTAAACTTGTAAAAGGGGATTTTTCAAGCAGGATTTAAACTTTTATAACAATGCAAGAAACCAGCAAGAAATACAAAAGAAATAGACGTTACAATTAAGTAATGCCCATGCAGAGAGGCATGGTTTTCTCACCAGTGTATAGCTTTGGAGATGCTGACGTTATAGGTGAGGTACAATGAATTCATAAACTTTATCCTTAAATTTCTACTGCTTGGATTCAGGCTAGTGAGATCTGAGGCCAAATTACCCGCAATGTGATATATTCCTGCAGGAAGTTTGGCTGTGTATGATAGGTTGTTTTATCTGATACTTTCTGAATCATCAGTATTGGTGTAAAGAGAGGGGGGAGAAAATGGCTCTAAAGTTTCTCTTGGCCAGAGAAGCTGTGGCTGCCCCATCCCTGGCAGTGTTCAAGGCCAGGTCGGACACAGGGGCTTGGAGCAAGCTGCTCTAGTGGAAGGTGTCCCTGCCCGTGGCAGGGGGTTGGACCTGAGAGAGCTTTAGGGTCCCTTCCAACCTAAACCACTCTGTGATTGACTCTATGATTTTATGAAAATCAACACTTGGATAATTTGTGGGTATACTTCAAACTTATTCTGCAAAGCTTTTAGGCAGAAGTGATTTGCCTAAAGTCACATAGGGATGGCATCAAGTGGAGAATTGAACAGAGCTTTTCTGAGCCCCCATGTAGCATCCACAGGCGTCTGGACTACTCATTCCCCCTTTCTCTGATACAGTGGGGATAGGCTGCTCCTAGATGCAGGCTGAAGGTCTTACACAAAGTGGTTGAAGTCAGTGGGGATCCTTTCAGGGATGTCCGATCGTATGTGTATGGTGGCTGCTGTGTTCCTTTAACCAAGATAATCTTCCAAGCAGCATCACCACAATTCTCCGTGTTGTTGGTATACATTAGTATTGTTCTACTGTGGCCATGCTGGAAAACAGATAATGCCTATAAGAAACAGCAAAGCTTCTGTAAACTGCCTTAGAGCTAAATGAGTTGTTTCACGCATGTCTGGGAAGGACAACAAAGAGCTAAACCCATATAGGAGTCATTTACTTGTGTGCCAAACCAGTGCTGTGTTAGATGGGGCTGAGGTGGCAAGGTGTAAGTCAGAGCACACAAACATGGTGTTGCTAAGTTTGCCTGTAATGCCGTAGGAAGATTAATTTGCTGTGCAGCCCCTGTGTGTAAAACTTATTACAGTAGTTACAATAGCAAAGGCAGTTGTTAAGGCTGAGTTCTAACCCCTGCTCTTGGCTAATAACTCTTTGCTAATAGCTTTCTCAAATTCTTTTTTGCTCTGAGTTTTTCCATGCTCAGTGTTAGCCCTAAGGTGAATTTTTTGGGGAGTCTGGGAGGGTTTTGAATTATGAGAACATGAATAAAATACATCTTTCCTCCGCATGTTTTAATGGAACTTTTGCATTCTGAGAACTTTCTGAAGCATCAGATTTGTTTTGTAGCCCTGAGAAAGGAAAGAGAGCAGCGTAATTGATGTCTGCAGAATATCCTGGCTCATGAAACTGGTGACTGTGTGTGGTCACAGCAGCTTTAAAGATGAAGGATGACATTCTCAAAAGTATCTAATGGTGGAGGCCCATTTCAAAAGCACCATTGACACTGAGGAGATTAAATGTCATAGAATCTTGTAGGATGGAGGCACTTGCGTGCCTGCCGCTCTTGAAAGGAGAAGGCTGTTTTAATAGAGCTGGGCCAGGAGTGTTTCACTTCTCATGAGGTGTGGGGTTATTCTGATCCCCAACTTGGATCAGGAACCTGCTAAGATACTGCAGTTGCATAGCTCCTGTGATGTGCCACATAGGTAAAGTCATATGGAAGACCATGGTGAAGTGCCGGGAATGTGTAGTGAGGGATTTCGCCTCTGTGCAAGGATGGGAATCCTTGGCTAGGAGGCTCAGTGCACACTGATTCAATGTGCACCTCTGAGCCAGAGGTTTGAAACCGTTCTTGAATGTGATGAGTGAATAAAGCAAAAATACTTTTAAGCAGATCTACATGGGAAAGGGTTACAACCTATATCTGACTAGCCTATGTATACCTTTAACACCATTTGCTTTGATTTCAATGGTATCTTAAAGGGTTTCAGCTGAGCTCCACTCGAGCTCTTCTATTAGAAGCCTTAGAAGCCACCAATACCAGAAGCAGAAAAATGTGCTGCTTCAGTGGCTCCTATGGACTTCCCATGACCGTTGGCAAGCTGTGACTAAATAGATTCAATTGCCTGTGTCTTCTATTGTCTTCCACTATCCTGTTCCCATATTGTGTAAGTGCTTTTCCAGCCCTTCCTGGAGCTCCAACATGGGTGAACGTTCATGGAGGAGCTGAATTTCCACCAATGAATTTGGTACCAAATGCAAGATGCCTTGATCTGGTGATGCTGCCTGGGTGAAGGCTGCTGGAGTTAAAGATGTTTCAGTTACTGGTGCCTCCATCAGAGTTTCCTTATGTGTCGATCCCTAGAACATCATATATTTACAATGAATGAAAGAAGTCTTGTTTTTCTGGATTTGCTGGAAAGCAGTCTGGATATATCACTGGATTTGCAGTTGTTAGAAATCCCCCAATGCTTTAAATAACTGCAAAAAAGCAGTGCTAGAATAACGTGAAAGCTGCAGAGTCCAAAGTTGATAGCAGGGAGAGTCTGAAATCTGTGTCTTGTATCACTAACCCGTGGTACACGTACACAGAGTGAGACTAGGAGGCATTTTCCAGTTCAGTTTTCCTTGTTAAATGTAATGTGTTACCATTTATTATTTCATCTATGCTTTACAACACACGGGACATATAATGGGGCTGGGTTAATACTGTGGGTGGAAAGTTCAGGTTTGGAATTGTTTTGCTCTTCTGGCCTTATTTTCTTTGTTTAACCTGGATTTAGTGACAGCTTTTACATCTGTATCTATCTCATATGCAGAAGGTTTGAATGCCTGAATACATGCCGGAGGGCACACCCCAGGACCAGCAGGACTGCTGCTCCCAACTGCATTAAGCTGAATGAGCCTTTGACACCTTCAGGTCTTTTGTGTTCTCCCTCATTTGCTGGGTGACGAGGGGCAGCTTCCCTTTACTCACTGGCAGCAAGGCAAACATAGAATCATGGAATGGTTTGGGTTGGAAAGGACCTTAAAGCTCATGCAGTTCTAACCCCTTCCCATGGGCAGGGACACCTTCCACTAGACCAGGTTGCTCCAAGCCCCATCCAGCCTGGCCTTGGACGCTGCCAGGGATGGGCATTTACAACATCCTTAGGTGCGTTGCTGACTTTGTTGATTCTGCCTTAGTCTACAATGAATGCTCATGGGCATCTCTCCTAAATTGTTCTGGTGCCCATCAGGTGGATGATGGAAAGTTTCCTGCCAGCTTTGGTGGGGTTTGTTCAGCCCCTTCCTTTGGATCAGTTTAAGAGCAGTTAGAAAAAAAGGATCAGAAAGATCAGTTTTGGGAAGGGACTCCATATGAATTGACTAACTCTGTGTGTACAGTATGAGGAAAAATGCATCTTATCTGAAACTTGGTGACAATATCAAATGGTTTTAGAAAAGATATTGTAAATAAGCAGTGTGTAAATGTGCAAACTGAGAGACTCAAACCACACAGTGAATGTTTGGACTGATTTATTTTGCTCTATTGCTTCCTTCTCAGCATATCTGTTGCTCTAAACCTGTAGTACATAACACTTTCCTTTCCTTGCCTTTCTGTGTGCCGTGCATGTTTGGGCTTTGAAATCCTGGGGGATTTTAGTTTCCTTAGGACAGTTCCCCCCAGACCTTTGCACTGAATCTGGTGTGCATCAGAGCTGCCATGTGCTAAGCAGCTAAAGTGCGTTACCAATGGGGGAATAATTATCAGCCCCAGATTATGGCATTATTAACGCCTTAATACTGATAACTCTTAGCAGTTCACAAGACCGTCAAATGGTTTCCCTTTAATACTGTCCCAGATTTTCCAGCAAGCCCTGGAGAACTGGAGATAACCTGACAGCCCAATAGAGTTTGATGTATGTGTCTGGAGAGGGGGAAGGAAAAAAACCAGGTTGAGATCCTCCAGACAAGCCAATGTCTTTAATGGCTTCCCTAGATTAAAATAATCCCTATGGGAAATCCACTATGACAACAGTTCTTATACAGATTTTGTGATTTTCCAGTCAGTGCTTCTGTGCCACGACCACTCTTTGAAACTGTTTGTGTTAGTGAAAGGCCACATTCTCAGAGACTTCTTGTTTTTTTCTCTCAAAAGAATGTGTTTTAACTCCATTAAGAAGAGCTTGAAGTTCTCACTTTCTTCCTTGGGCATTAGCGTGCCTATTAGTCCTGTATCTTGTGAATGTTTGACAACGCAAAGAAATGTAGAGGTCACTTCTGACTCTCATATGAAAGGTCATCCTGGTGTTTGCACTTAAGTACAGTATTTATAACATGGGTGATTTCATCCATCAGCCCTTTAGGGGATTGAAGAATTAGGCTGCGTGACAGCAGGCCAGGCAGTAACAATACTAAAACACTAACTAGTGTTGATTTAAAATCCAAATGAGAGGACAGATTTGCAGCCCTGAAATCAGGCACACTTATTGCTATTCAGATGTAACAAATCTAGCCCTGAACAGAAAACTCTTCAGAACAGAAAACCCTGTTCACAAACAACACCCAAGGCCAGATTCTTCATGTGGGGAGACTTTTAAAGAGCTCAGATTAATTTAGCAATGCTTTGTTGGTGGAAAAAGTTGTCATCTCTAATAGTAATAGGAATTTAAAGCTGCTGGAGAAGCTTTAAAGCACTGGGGTGTGGGGGAATCTGTGAGAGACAGAGATTGAAAGACTGGAGTATTTCTGTGGGTGTCCACTGAGACCCAAGATCATGTTTGCAGCATCGTTGCACTTAACCTTTGTACCTTTGCTTCAGGTTATATGATCCCTCAGAAAGCTGTGAATGTGAAGAAGGTCACGCTATGATTTGTGTCCCTGCCACTAAAATACTGTTGGAACACATTGCTGTGGCCACAGGTCACAGATTGTCAAATTAGGAAGGAATATTAGACTTCTCCTGCTTGCTACCAGTTGCATGGGGCTTTTGGCTGTTAATGGTCATTTAAATAGCAGCTTCTCTTGTTCCCACTTTGATTCGGTAGTCGTGGCAATCAGGTTGATTAATTTGTGTCTAAGCCTTGTGTTTCTGTATAGTAAATAGCTCTGAAGCACTTTACAGCAGTTTTGTAGTGTACATTATTATTGCAGCACCCTCTGGCTCATCTACCTACTTTACCCCTCTGAAAGATTAATCCTTAGGTAAGTTATGGGAAAAGCGTCACTATCACTGATTTAGGATGGTGTCTTAGACACGATGCAAATGTTCATGTCATATTGAGGTTTAGATAGCAAAATGGAATTAAACACGCTGTTAATGATTTAAGACCCAAATTCATGGCCAAAGGCTACATAGTATGAGATACTTCAGATACTTAGCTAAAAAGTTCAATCTGAAGGTACAGAGGGGTGGTGGTGAATGGTGCAGCCCACCTGCACTTGAACACTGCCAGCACCTCAGCACCCTCATAGGGAAGAACTTCTCAATATCTCATCCCAGTCTCCCCTCTGTCAGGTTAAAGCCACTGCCCCTTGTCCTGTCACTACGTGCTTTTGTAAAACGTCTCTCTCTTGCTTTCTTCTATTCTCCTTTAGGCACTGGGAGCTGCTCTGAGGTCTCCCCTGAGCCTTCTCTTCTCCAGGCTGAACCAGCCCAGCTCTCTCAACCTGTCTCCATAGGAGAGCTGCTCCAGCCCTCTGAGCGTCTTTGTGGTCTCCTCTGGACTTGCTTGAACGTTTCCACATCCCTCTTGTGCTGGGGACCTGTTCATGACTCTGCAGATCAACTTTCCCAGCAGAGTAGGATCATGCTACACCCAGCTCCCCTGCTAGGCATATCTCTCTTACCCTCCTAATAAGCTTTACACAAGCAGCCCAGGTCTTCTTATAAAGTGATGCACTGCCAGTAAACAGGGCTGCTGGCACCCAGGAGCAGAGCCTGCCTAGTGACATCTGCCCCATCACTGTGTGCTGCAGTGGGACAGAAGGGGCTCACTCAGTCCTGTGTCACACAGTCAAAAGGCTGCTCTGGGTTAGCAGCTCGCTGGCTGGAGTGCTGTGCTTGATGGGTATGTGAAATCAAACCACCTTGGAGAGGGGTTAAGCTGTGGTTTGTTGTAACACTTGGGAAGGAGAAAGTCAAAGGTACCAAAATAGATTTCAATGGGGGTCAGCTCTGGATGGGGTGACCTTTCTGCTCTGACCACTACCCAGCTTAAGGTTAAACTGTACTGCTCCAATCTCAGCACTGTTTACATGATAGGCTCTAAAAACAACGCTGCTCCATCAAATTTTCACACTTCCATTTGTTTTAAGAGTTAGGGAAATAAAATAATCAGCATTTCAGAAATTCCTCTTCTCGCCTGAATGAAACAGGCAGTCCCACAACTTCGTTTTCAGCTGCTTTTCCTGTTTCCCACACACTGCAGTCAGCAACCTTTGCCCAGGGCAGGGTGACCGCTGATTCATATGGAAGACCCGAGTCCTGCCTGTGGCGGTGGGGATGCTCTGGCAAATAGGATGTTTGTTCCGCTTGCAGGCCAAGGGAAAAGGAATTTCTGGAATGATATGGGTAAAAAAAAGTACTTGTTTCTTTTGGCAGTCTTACTTGGACAGTCCTTGAGCTGTTGTGTGGTGGTTCTGTGTACACCGAGGAAACCCAAGCAAACAGGCTGCCCTGGGCTATCAGCATGGCTGGAAGTTTCCAACATGTTTTTCCTGCATATCAAGAATTTGGATCTTTGCCACACAATCATTCTACAGAACCGTGAGTGGGAAGCACTCCAGTTGTGCTCAGTCTTAAGTTCTCCAACTACTGCTTTTCCAGGAATGGTCAGTGCAGCCCCCATCAAATGAGATACCTGAGTTTTCCCTCTGTTGATCTAATTCTTTACAAGCAACTGTCCCTTCTGAGCTGGTTTTAGTGCTTACAAGGGTGTTGTATTCATCTAATCCTTGCCACCCCTCACCTGTATCATTACAAAGCAGTGACAAGGCTGTTTACCATGATGGTACTAGCAGTTTTCATGGCCCTCAGTGTTACTCAGCAGCAATGCTCCAAGGAGACCTTATAACAGTCTTCTAAAACCTAATGGAGGCTACAAGAAATGTGGAGAGGGACTTTTTACAAGGGTCTGTAGTGACAGGACAATGGAGAATGGGTTTAAACTGACAGAGGGGAGATTGGGATGAGCTCTGAGCAGAAGCTCTTCCCTGTGAGGCTGCTGAAGCGCTGTGTCCAGAGCAGCTGTGGCTGCCCCATCCCTGGCAGTGCTCAAGGCCAGGTTGGACAAAGGGGCTTGGAGCAAGCTGCTCTAGTGGAAGGTGTCCCTGCCCATGGCAAGGGGCCGAAACGGGGTGAGCTTTAAGGTCCCTTCCAACCCAAACCAGTCTGGGATTCTATTCTATGATTCTGTAATCTCACCCAGTCGCCCCACTCCTGCTATGGCTTCAGTGCAAGTAGCTCAAGCCTGTGCTTGGGAAAACCTCTTTTGGTTGGCTTTCATGTTGAACTTGTGCTGGGAGAGTATTTTCACAGCTTTTCAGGCTTTGTTGTTGTTGTTGCTGCTACTATGTTCAAATGAAAGGCCTATTTCCAGCTTGTTTAGGAGAAGGCAATTTATATAGGTTGCTGTCTCCCTCTCTGCCCTTCCCCATCCCAGCCCTGTGTGCTCTTTCGTGACCTCTGGGGCAGTTCAAACTTTCTGTTTTACTTTCTTGTACAAAGCAGAACTGAAGAACTCTTTGGTAGCATATATATAGAGAGATTATAGTTACAGGAATCCTCTCCAAGCTTTATTTATCAGGGAAATAGCAGAAGAGTTGCTCATCTTGCCCATAAACAGGCTTCCGGTGCTTCAGACCAAAGCTGTTTAGTCCCTGTTCGTTCTGTTTAGTCCATGGTTAAAACAAAAATGAAAGTCTAAGATGTAAATCAGCTGATTAGTCTCTCTTGCTGTGTTCAGACCTGGGTAGCTGGGTGAGAGCAGAGAGTGGTGCTTTGGACCTGTGCCTGGCTATTCGCAGCTCTGCCATCCGGCCAGGG